GGGGTGATGAAATATGATGTAATAGAGAAGAAATGATAAAATGTTGTTACAGAAAGAGATAAAAAAAAGTTGAAATGATTGATAAAAAAGTGATGCAAATAATGATGACATTGATTCAAATAGTGATGCAAGTAATGATGAAAGTAGTTATGTCAGTGATTGTTATGATGACTGTGAATCACATAGTGATGCAAGTAATAATGATAGTGATTCAGATAGTGATTCAAGAAGTGATGAATTAAATAATTCTGATGGTCAAAAAAGTGAAGAGGATTGGAATGGAGGAGAGGAAAACTGTAAAAGAAAATAAATAGAAATAAAGTATAAAGGTGAAACAGAGAGTGAATATGAATTTATAATTAATGCAGATGATCAGATGGATGAAATTTATAACATTTTCTATTTAAGTATTTCAAGCGACGAGGAAGTTACTGGTGAAACCTGTTATAATATGAAAACAGAAATGATGAAAATGATAATGAAGATGATAAGAAACAATGCACAAAAACAGATACATGTAACTATGATGAAGAAATAAATGAGATAGAAAGAGAGAGAGAAGAGCAAATTGGAAAAGTAATGGAAGAATAAGATGCAAATGATAGTAGAACAGCTGATACAGGAAGTACAAGCGCCGCAAAAGAAATAAGTGCGACAAATGATACGTATACGGAATCAGATGATGATGATGTTGAAATCTTAAATGTTGACATACCAGAAAACATAAGAAGAGTAAGAGTCATAACATCGGTAATAGCTGAAGTAGTGTATACCTATTGAGGAGATGAACTTATACATACTGAACAGTATATGACTAATGATATTCCTACACAGAATAGTAAAAATACTGGTATAGTTTATGTTTTATTTAGTTGTAACCAATCTTTGTTACCTTAGCCTCCTTGCTGGGAGTGTTGAGGAATACACGAGTATTTTTATTTATGCCAAAGTATTTATTTTTGATTTGAATATAAAGTTTAATTTGAATTTGTAATAAAGATTTTCATTTTTTTGCTATTATTAATGAATGAGCTATATGTTATTGCTCCTCGTCTTGGTACATAATAACTTCCCGCCAAAAATAAGGAAGGCAGGAAAATTATACTTCTACGTTTTGGTCCTCGCCACGACTTTCTCACTTTTTTTGCTTTTCTTGTAATGTTACTTTTTTGGCGGTAAATTAGCCTAATATATAAATACGCCCTTTTACAGCGTTAGTCAGATTCGGAAATAACAGTTATGAAATAAACGAGGTGTGTTATGTCTAGCTAAAATAAGGATTATTAGTGTTATAAAAGGTTTGAAATTAAAATAAATTGTTTATTTAAAATGAAATAAAAAGTTTGTCTTCAATGTTTGTGTAAAACGTGAATCTCCAACGCACTCTCGGTGTCAGCAGGTTAAAGTTGGGTGTCCATTTGATTAAACGTGACAAAAATAGATTACTGCCATAATATCTATTTTTTACGATTACAATTTACACAAAGTACATCAAAATGCAATTAAGACAAATTCTAATAAAACCCACTTGTTGTCTTGACAGACTGTAATCTAATCTACAAAGTAAATAAAATAGTTTTATAATCACTTTGTAAGCACAGTATAAAAGGAATGTTAATGTAATGTAGCATTTATTAACAACCTTTATGTATGCATGTATGTTGTGCTATTAAATTGTTATTGTTGCTGCTATGATAACGATAATGATGAAATATTGCTTTTGTTATTGAATCGAAGGTATAACGCAATAATTGTGTACTTTCTTTATGTTTTCGAGAACTTGCATAAAATGCATAAAATCATTTTATATTATTGACTGTTTTATTTTTCATTATAATAAATGCCATTTATGAAAATGGTGATAGTGTCGGATAATTTAAATCGTCATATTTTATAAATCTTAAACAAGAGTTAATATTTCGTTTTGCTTTGTACATAGAAAGGAAATCATCATAAAGAAACACAAAATATTATTCATTATTGGAATTCGAATTCAAAAAGCTGATGATGAAAAAATAAAATAATGTTTTGTTTTTTTAATATCTGAAACAAGACTCCATGTTCTGTTAATTCTTTTTCAATCTTTAGGAAATATTTCAGAAGCAAGGGCTGGGTCTTGCGTTAACATTTTTTGGTGTATCAAATGCATTTTTACTCCAACCTCAAATAGATGTTTCCTATCAAAAGCGGCTCGTTTCCTCTCAGACAGTTTATAGTAAAAATCGGGTTGACCTCCTTTAACTATGCCTATCACTTTTGGTGAATTAACTTCTTTCGTAATAACTGGACCACCAGATAATCCATGTTCCATAAAGCAATCAAATTTGATAAATAGTTCGTTATCAAGACCATGGTAGCCTCGATCAACAGAAGACTTATCATGTCCAGGTATGTCATTTTTATATTCCTGTGCATTTTGTTCCAAACTTGCAAGTGCTTCCCTGTGCCTTCTGTTAAAAGTGTCTTCTTCGATTATCTTACATATTTCCCAATGTTTTTCATTTTCGTTCTTCTTATTACCATAACCTATAAGAATAACTTCCTCTATAAACAAATAATAGCTGTCGTGTTTCCATAACAATAGAGGGTCCGGGAGATTTTCGTGTAGTTCAATATTTTTTATTTCAAGTATGGCAAAATCGTATTCTTCATCATGATATCTATATTTCAATGAAAATCTCCGTCTGTGAGGGTTCATGATGGATTCGTTAAAATTAACTCCCAACTCTTCTTGTTCAATCCGTGAAAAGTCATAGTATGTGCTGCCTGTCTGATCTGTAATGAAAATCATATTCTTGTGTAAACATTGAAAATCTTTGATATGATTCTTATTATTGTTGTATTTTTTATTTTATGGAAGGTAACAGGGATGACATTTGGACCTGTTGCCAGAGGCAGAAAGCTTTGCAATCAAACTATTATACATGTTGCAATAACATATTTAGAACATTTTAACAACTGTAAAATTGTTAAGTGTACTTTACACTATTCCTATACAATATCAGTTAGAAACGTTGAAACTGATTTTACAGACGTTTATTTTTACGTAACGCAACAGTGACGTTAGATTACCGAATATTAGCAGACGGCGTAAACGGAAATACCCAATGACAGAAGTGTTTCAATAGTTATTTCATCTCTGGACATGTTCAGGATTTCAGTGGTTCAATTAAACAGTTGTAAATAAGGAATAGGTGATTTTAGAAGACATTATGTAATAATAACACATATTTCCCTTGTTCATCAATAGTTTTCTTTACTTATCAGAAGAGTGATTTGGTTTTTGAAGTAAATTTATTGGAATGCTTCAATTTAAAAAAAAAATAACTTTAATGTGATTCTCATGACAAAAATTCATATTAAGATTAGAAATATATAATATAAATAATCATATGACATTAAACATTTGGATCAATAAGACTTTTCGCAACCATGATTAGATTTCATAAATAATATAAAGTGGAAATTTGACCTTAAGAAAACCATTCGAATCAAAAAGCACAAACCATAAACAAACAAGGTATAAAAGATGGATAAAATGTTTAATATTTTACATTGTCGTAAATCGATTATTTTTTCCTGGTATTCATATGCATGATAATTTTGTTTTAATAAAACAAATCAAACCTCTAACTATTTTACGAAGAACATGAAATGATGTCATCACATAAAATCGACCCACACGGAAAGCAGACCCCATAACTTTGTTACTGTGTATTATTGCGCCGCAGCTCCGCAGGAGCTGATTCAAACAATTCGTTGCTGCTTGTGTGTTTGTGTCATCAGTATCTTTTTTGAACTCTCCAAGATTTAACTTTGCATCACCTGAAATCGCAAATAAATATAATGTTCTCTCAAGTCCATCAACTTTTAAAAGTAAAAGAAATATGTTTCCTCAAATGGTCACAGCGACATCTTAACTATGTTGCTAACCTATGAAACGAAACATAAATATGTTGTTTTCTGCTGGAAAAAATAGCCTTGAAAACAAAGCATAGTTTCTTTAGACATGAATAAGCTTTGTATATAAGTTCTCTTGTTTAACAGTTTTTATTGCATAATGAAGACCAATATTGGCAAAGAATGTTAAATATTGAATCATTAAGATCGGAAACGTACGTTACAATAAAGTTATCTGTAAATTTGTCCGAGTTCAATGTGTCAACAGTTAGTTTGGAAAAGTTTGAACAAAATATTTTTTTCTCAGTCTCCATATTATCGCCTCTTACATATTTTCTATCAGCGGGATTTCCCGGGGTTAGATCGAAATTAGATAACAGTTTTAGTTAAAACATAAATTATTTTTAAATAAGATTGATTGCGAAGTAAGCTCTAAGCTCATATATACGAATTCGAATCCCTTCCACGAACAAACCAGTACTAACGGGTTTGATAATTATTGCTATGGAAATAAATAAGATAATAAAATGATAAAAGCTTTCCCCAAAAAGGGTTTCAGCCCATATGACCAACAATCTTTAGATGATTATTCCGGCACTTGGCCAAACCACCATTTGCTTAGGTCTAACAAAATATTTCTTTTATCTTTTCTTTTCTTACCATAACTTGAATTAGCTAACAAATGTTCTTTCTCCTCTTCGCTAAAGTCGTTAGTAAATGGTGCATTATTTGAAACAGTTTGAAACATGCCCAATGGTCTTGCAATTTGTTCATTTGAATCTTCTAGCTCAATTTCGCATGCGGAATCTAGAATTATTATATATGATAATATATGTAGTTATACTTTTGATAAAGCTTAATATTTTGATCAAGCTAAATATTATGTGGAATGTTTTTGTTTCTCGATATAAATCGAGAAACATTTTGTTATATATACATTGTTTGTGCTCTTTGTGTGTAATAATTGAAACAGGCACCTATTGCAAAAACAATTACTCCGTTATCAATATTAGAAACTGTGCATTATTCTTTTAAATGTTGTAAACAATATGCTTCGCCAATCATAAGTTTTTAGTTTTAAGACCTTTTCCAAGACACTATCAATCAAAAATCTTTTAATGCATAATCTGTAAAAATATATTTCAGTAAGTATGAAATTCATTACAACGATAAAATACCTACGTTTTAAATTAAGCGTACGATTTAATGGTAAAGGCCGAATGTAAACTAATATATTGGACACATTGGTCTCAAGGCTGTATAACTTTTTGGATAAAAACATTTGACAACCTTTATTGGTTTATTTTAGAAAGTCTTTACTTCTGAAATGAAACAAGATAAAAAAACATTACTCAAACCTGTTTTGGAAGTAGAATAATTTTGGTCTTCTTCTTTTGTTCTAAATGTGGATTCCTTAAAAAAAACATGTTTTACTTGAAGATTCTTTACCACTTTGACAAAATTAAATATGGTCGATGTAATTTATTTTTACATTAGCTTTAAGTTCTTATTTAACATGTTTGTATGTCAAATGTTTCAATTCATGTGCAAAAATATTTTTACGAACAGATATAAGCCTTACGCCGACAAATTATTGTTTATTTACATGTTAGTTGTTTTAATAATTTTAAATTTAATTAAACCTTCACTTACCAAATTATCTTTTGTTCCGTCTGTATTGAAATGGTTTGTTATGTAAACGTTCGTTGATTTTCCTTTGAATACTATAGACTGTTTTTTCTGATCCGTTTCATGTCTTAAGTCATCTGAGTTGTTACTTTCGTCTACAGAACTCAACTCAACTGAAAAAAGAGCTGTTGGTATGACAGCTTGCTCGACTACTGTCAATGCTTGAAAGTGAAACAACAATCGCAATTTTGCTGCCCTTTCCGTCAGTCTATAGATAAGGACCTCGAACACAATAGTAACAATACAAAGAACGGATACGGTATTTCGGTCTAACCTACGCTAAGAAACTAAACAGTCAACAAATAGTAATTTTATGCTGGGCGTTGTTTACCAAATAAATCACATATATAGAGTAGTAGTTCACCTATATAGATATAAAAGTAAGCTGTACATAATTTATATGCTTATTATATTTATAGTTGTAGGAACGAGAGCACAGAATGTCTACATGTTAACTTCAATAAACAATTCTTTGTTTTTAATGGTACTCAGTTGGCATTTTTAAATTGATTTTGACTTTCAGACATATTTTCAATCAAAGTTTTAGCGAAATATATTTTATTTCCCCATATATGTTTTATATGTATAATCGGTTTCCATTATCAAATATTGCGTGGTACATGTAGAACTACATGCAATACCTATTAACTTAAACCATTAGTAAAACAAGATATTGCAAAATATATTATTCTTAACTTTGAAAAGGCCCCTAATTCTGTAATAATTTTGTTTTGATGCATATGGATTGCAGTGGACTTATTATTATTTCATATGGACGTATTATTTCACAGGTGGACGGAAACATATGAGTGTGTCCATACGAAATAATGCCCTAATTTATTTGCTTTCACAGTGGAATATTTACATACATTTTCTTTGCATATCTACTGGCCAAGGACAATGCTCCTTTAAGTTAAAAAACTAAGCTTTATTCCGTTTCAAGTTATTGATAAGAATATAATAAGATTACATATTGTCATTGTGACCTTGACGCTTGATGAAATGAAATAAAATTCAGCCATGACTAACCTGTGCATAAAATCTTAGGACTGTCGGCCAAATTTTAGGCCAAACTATAAATTCATTAAAATAATAACACTTCACTGTTTCTTGACTCATTTCTGTTTGGGATTATGCAATAAATAAGATAAGATTCTGTTAATAACCTCATGTGATATTCTCTTTGCACTTTGTCATATGATATTAAGAAGTGTTGGCCTTGATACTTGGCAATGATTTTTCTGTGAAATATCAGATGCATCCGACACACAGCCAATATCTGGCGAAATTCTTACTGTAAAACGGAAAGTCAAGAATTAACTATATTAAGAAAAGATCTACGTAACAGAAATTTTGTTGTCATCAAATGTCTTTGGGAAATGAAATTAAGTATAATCGGTAATAGAAAACAAGGTAATGAATAATTTTTAAACAACTGTAAACATGTTGTTTAAGGTATTAGGACCCTAATGGGCACTATAAGGAACTGAAAAATTGATATCATAGGTCAAATGTATACCTTAAAGTTCACCTGTATGCAAAATTTAAACAAAGTTTACCGTACGGAAATCAAGTTATGGCCACTTTTCTGAACTCAAGCTAGGAAGTTATGAGGGCCCTTTTTTAGAAATGAGGAACCTTTAAATAATCTGTAATAACTCTCTAATGAAAAATGTTTTCCCATTAATTTTTGGTAAGAAACAAATAGTACCATTCAGCTAAATCCACATAAGCAAAATTATGGTTTCTACATAAAATTTATGAAATCTGTATACAAATGTTACCCTACCCCACCCATTTTTACCATGTGTCTGACCATTTTTCTACTTAGGGAGCCTAATTTAAAAAAATTCTTAAAATTTACCCAAATGAGTGCCTGTTTTCAAAGTTTCACTAAATTTTTAAAAAAGTATATTGGTTGATCTTGTAAAATATGAAATACTTTTACCGTCTAGTTTTAATTATATTACACTTTGAAAATATCAGGAATCATATTTATTACTAGATTTAGCATAATTTAGCCAATAAATACCTATATAAATTAAAAAATCAAAATTAAACACTTTTTTCTTTCCAAATGGGACATGAGAGATACATAAATAATGTTAAAAGAAAAAAAGAAAGGAAAAATAAGTTGACCCTTCTGTGGATTGAAACCATGGCCCTCATTTTCAATGTAGTTAACAGTAGTTCTAGCCTATTTGATTACTCTTCAACGCGGAGGTAATGCATTAGGGTGCTAATACCTTAATCACAAAAATTAATACCTGTATCAGCTGAGGAGTTGTGACGCGAAGAAGAGTTTCCGTCTTCTGCTCCATCCGATGGTGCCTTACCTGTATTAAGATATATCTTATCCGTTAAATCAAATGATAATCAGCTTTAATTGGCGTTTTTATCATGGCTTAGTAGATTTACATTGATTAAAGTTTGTAAACTTTTTAAAACTACATCTTTAAAGATGCAGCGTATATGAGCATATACAAATAATAAATTTATAAAATTATCAAATAAATCACCGAGATATGTCAGCTACATGATATTGAAAACAATCATAGCAACAAGTTTTGGCGTTCGTGAACAACGGTTCTGATATACATAAAAATGCGTATCAGTTGATAATCTAAGCTAGCTAAGAAGTAAACACCCTTAAAGAATTAACGGCAAGATTTTTATAATTATAAGGTACATTTCTTTCAGCAACAAAATTATAAAAATTACCGACTCGGTCAAATTCTATTTGTTCATGATAGATAATTCAAAAGTGCTAAATTGTACAGTTTCAAATGCCGAATAGAACCGAATCGCCTAAACTAATGTAAAACACATATAGAAATAATATTATACTTGCATTTTTTGCGAATGCAAAACGCAACTATAATGGTCATCAAACAAACTGAAAATAAATATAAATCATTTGAAATTCAAAAATAAAAATATGAAGTACTTTTCATTTCATTCAACCCGAACTTTAATTTTTATTAATTTGTCAATATCATTCAGTTTGATGGAAACAGACTAATTAAAATATATCCATATATAATGGTTTATGAATATTCTTATTAATTTATATTTCAACTATTTTGGTTTATATAACAAATTGAATGCATTTTGTACAACACAGTAAATTGTTTTTTCTAAAGAAAGCGCGATCGTTTTGACATTTGGAATAATTATATGGAAACAAAAGGTCTATAATGTCAACACATATTTGCTTTTTTGCATTTTGCTGACTTATGAAACATGAAAAACACATTCTGAAAAGAATATGTTCAGATTATTGTTGTTAAATTTTTTTTGTACAAAATCAAAGAAGCAGTTATTTATCTTGTGATGAAATAGTTATTCTTGTAATAAATTTCATTAATTTTCTTGTAAGGTGTTGGAAGTTTACATGTAGCATTTAATTTTTTGAGAATGTTAACCTGACAAATATAATAAAAAATATTTGATGATTTCTTTTAAATGACTGTAATTTATTTCATACTCTGTTTTAACAAAAAAAAAAATATTCATATTTTAAAAGATATGCTGTATTTTTCAAGAGATAAGTTAGACGGGTTATTCTTGTTGGCATACAGTTTGATATCCATATATTTGAGGAACAATTTTTAAATCATGTTGTCAAAAACGTAATGTGGAAAGTGGTCAAGAAATTCCAAATTTTGATCGCTATGGAAAAGTGTTAAAAGTTATAGAAGCAATTTGCTTGCCCCAATTCAGATATTTCAATACAAATAATAATAATTTTTATTTTAAATTTATTTATTTTATTTTTTTAAGTTTTAGATATCTTGGAATAGGTTTTAGCCAATTGGCTGAAGCCAATATATTATGTGAAAAGTTTATTGTTAATTTGTTATCAGAATGTGTTGAAACATAACAAAAATTTACAATGTCAGTAAAAGCTGCCTTTTTTAATATATTTTAAAAGTTTCAATTAAATAAGCAAGATAGAGTACTTTGATAAAATTTTGAGCTTGATCAGGTTCCTAAATATACCCATTACAGGTATCTTACCTTAAACTGTTTTATACATTTTTATTTTTAATAACAAATTGTGAATACTTTGACAGTTTTCAGATAATTATACGGTTAGCATGGGAACTGTCATTCATTTTACATATACCAACGTGTCAACATATATTTTCTTTTTATTTTTGAATTCTTGATTCAATTTTACTTTCCATACAAAAAATATTTAAAAAATGCTATCAATGGTTTAATTTTTATTTTACTGTAAAAATGTCTTTAAAAACACTTGTCTGTATCTGAAATTTGGAATTCAAATGATACATACCTCCAAATGTCACACATATAACAATTAAAACGATGATTTCCGTTGCTAAAGTGTTTGTTTTGGGAGTCACATCTGATCCTGAGATTGAAATAACATTTTTCGTCAATAGTCATGTAAAACGAAACAAAATTACTGACCGTACACAACTATACTGACTAAACAAATCAACATATTAAGCAATTAATAGTACATATAAATACGAGATAAATTTTAGTTTTTGGGAGCACACCATCGAATAAAAGAATACTACAAGATATAATTGTGTTTACATACACAAATACATTCATAACCATCTCTTATATTTAGATATTTACAAAACAGATCGAATAAGACTTAATTAAGGATATTAAATTTATTTCTTTTTTGTAATACTAATTAATTACTCAAATGTAATGATACTCTTTTGATAATAGTTTGAATTTAAAATATGGTTAACTTGCCGGTATCGACTACTTTTTCTACAATGTGAATATAAGCTTGCTAAATTATCAGTATACAGTGTATGTAGCAGAAAATCAAAGTTTATCAAGCACCACTTACTGGTATGAATGCTTATTGATAGGAGTAGCTGTTTTTACGTACCTATACATCTTCCAGTTTCTCTATCGTTCACAAATCCTGGGTAGCATTGGCAAACATATCCATTAAAAGATTGTTTGCATATCCCATTTTCACAAACCCATGGTTCTCTATCGCATTCGGCAATATCTGGCAATAACGCAATGCGATTCGTATAATAACGAGTGTTTCGAAATTCAATTTTCAAACAACAAGAGCTTTCAGATACAAGTTATAACTGGCCCTTTAATAGTGGATATTGAATTATTTTAACCATTTTGGAATGAGAAGTGAAATTCTTGAATGAATTAATACAAATAAAAGGATTTAATTTAAACTTGTTACGTACAAGTGAGAGTTAATGTGTTAAACGGGATATAACTAAAATTTCAAACAAAAGATAAAACTCGCCTAAAAATTATTTTAAAAAAAGACCAACAAGGAAAGGCGGCGTTTAATGAACACAACCCACCCGTAAATAAACAGGACCTACATATACATTGAACACTAAAACCAGCACAGAGTTCCAAGAAAATCAAAGCATACATATATCAACGTCAAATAGTTTTTTATGATTTATATTTATAAAAATTTACTAAAAAAGGGTCTTTTGATAAGGTTAATGTTTGCAACAATAACTATGTATATGAAATAATCAAATTACAAAACATGTATTTGTAGCAGAGTAAAATACCATACCTGTGTCTAAGTCAGGTTGTTTATCTGTAACAGTAACTGTTATGGAATGTCCATCTTCAAGATGGTCCCTGGAAAAAATGTGTGGCAAATTACCAAAATAATTTATTTATTTATTATCAAGAACATTCACTCATATATTTGAAATAGATATGAAAGGTTCCCAGGGACCAGTATTTGCCAAATGGTCTAAATTCAGCGACTTAATTTTTCATATTTTGTTAAAATAATCAACTTTTTGAGACAATAGTTACTCTAAACTGTATATTGTGCCACAGACAACATGAACCTTCATATATGTAGTCACTTGAAAATATTGTACATTTGCAATGGAATTTTATTTAACTTTAAAATTTAAAAATGTAAATACGTTTTTGATCCGGGGTAGGTAGTGGTTTAATTAAAAATGAATAGAAACGTCCAATTAGTTCAGATACATTTATATTTAATACAGATATATTTAAGATGATATTAAGAAGAAATTCGTGATCTAAGAAATAAATGAGTTATCATCTATGAAGGCTTTGCAGTTCCTGGTAATGAAATATATTTTTGATAGTGTAAGATAACTGGAAAAACATCTTGAACTTATAAATAAAAGGGTATTCATTAGTGAAGACTGCAGTTCTAGGTAATGAAATATTTACCAGCAAGTCTGTTTGCAGATAAAGTTATCGTAATCATCTCTACATTCATATGGGTTGCAAGGAAGGACACATGTCCCATCTATAATAAACAAAACAACAAAACACGTATATGCTAAATCAAGTAAGTGGTCATAATTATAAAATAAAATACCTTTAAAACACACACTAAATGAAGGTAATATATTTTGTAATCATTACAAATACTGCAAATATATTTTTAAAATTAAATTGTTAATCAAATGTTAGATTTAACTTACTAGGCAAGGGTTTTTGTGTTTTTACGCATGGATTGTTCATTTCAGCGTTCCCACTACAAAAATATGGTTCATGTTCACTTTCCCTGTCGTAATCTAATAGAAATCTCCCAGCCCTGTTATAATATCCTTCTTTGTAGTTGCAATACATATAAGTTGGGTAGATGTGGTTACCTTCACTATAGATCAAATATTTTTCTTCAATATTTGTTAAACCTAAGTGCTTTGATTTACAGGCATTGATACAGTTTGAATTTGTTTCCTGAAAATAATCAGTTGGACATTTCTCGACAATAATCTTAACCTTTGAAGGGTCGTCCTCGTCTTTCCGAACTTTCCACCAATGACCTAAATGAAAAGAAGTGAGACTGAAAATAAAGTGTTTGAGTACCACACTAAATACCGTATTACTGTATTAACTAGACAAGGCGCTTGAATCATTTAATATTAGAATTTCCCGCCCAATTGCAAATTTAGACGGCAAATGAGTTCCCTCACGCCAATTTATATACGATTGTGAATGAAAAATGTATGAATCACCGCCAAAGAAAAAAACAACAAATACAACGGCCGACATACACATGTTATAGTTTATTTAGTTTCAATTAAAGTACATTTTATTTTACAATACAGCCACTGACAGTAAAAATTCCTGTACAAACAAAGCATATTTATTGAACATAACACATTTTTAAATAAAAATTTACAAACTTGAGTTAGATATTTTGAGAGATTTGATGATTTTCACCATGAACGACTGAAACCGAAGTGCAGTCTTTAGGTTGTAGCAAATTTATTTTCTTGTTAGTAGATTTGTAAGGAAATGCAATAACGAGCAAGTCTATTTGAAAGAAAAAGGAAAATCAGAAATATTGATCTATTCTGTGAGAATTGTGGTAATTGACAAAAACACAATTCAAAAGAAAGTTTAAGAGATTGCAAATAAAGTAACTAAAAGTTAGTTAGGCGTACCTTTCTCGCATCTAAGATTTATTGGAGCGCAGATAAAAGTCATGCCTTCTTCAATGTTAATACATACGGGTGTATATCCTGGGAAACACATTTTCTTAAATTCACAGCGAGTGATCAGTAGTTCCATGTTATCACTACCTTGAAAAGGGCAGGTCATATTTAAATTTGAAGGGTTGCAGTTAGGAGTGCTGAGAGACACAAAGGTTTGTATCTTCGAGAGACTTTGATCGTTTTCGGTTGGAGGTTGTATGTTCATGGCATTGGAAAGATAGGAAGACAGCAAAATCATAAACACCTGAATTTAGAAAAAGAAATATCATTTAATCGTTTAATCTCTGTGAGTATTAATTACTTTGCAAAACAAGAGTATTTATGAGTATTTTATTCACATACGTATTGGATAAACATTGTTATCACATTTGAATAATGTTAATCAAGTTAAAAAATCAATATCTTTAAGTTAGTGGAATTGATAGAACGGAATAAGCGCAAATGTTTACTTTTAGCTTGTTTAAAATCAAAGTTGTTAATGATATATTTTGTTAAATATGAAAGTAGAATTTAAAACGCTGATACTACCGCGTAACAGACATTTTCTTATTAGTTATAACTTCATTTACTTGTCTTAGAAGATAACAAACTCGCTGTCTCGGATTGTTTGATATAAGAAAATATGAAATGGCAACTCTGTTAAGATAATTTATTATAAAATCAACTGACATACGTATGACATCGATCCCTTTAAAGGAAGACTTCCTCTCTTGATGTCTGTTGAAACAGGCAGTTGCTTTACATCATGCTCCGTTTTCGACTTGCGATGTTCATACTCTAACACACGATGTTTCTTCAACGAAACCTTTTGAAGTATAACAATTTGGGAATAAAAAACAACTATTGACTATATACAAGATGTAAATTATAATAAAGCATAATGCATCGGGCAGAAATGCAATGCAACATTAAAGTTATCATTAACACAAACTCAATGCTTTACTAATAATGCTTCTTACTGATTTTAGACTGTAGGTAAAATGGAAAATGTTATCATATGTAATTGAAGATTTGATACATCAACCAATTCAGAGCATTTACTAAAGATGTCCGTCTGTTTACTTGTTTGGAACATGACATAATTTTTTTTAACTTGACGTCACAATATTTTTGTTAAAAAAATGTGGAAAGCTGTGCGTCCTCAATTTAACATATCAAAATATTGAATCTTAAAGGTTAGAGTTTAATAACTGATCAAAAAGAGAGGAAGGATACAACGACATACCTTTGTTACTGGCATTAAGCCTGAAATTTGACGACCATGATTGTCTGCTTCTGTAATTTCGTCATGTGGTTTTTCCTCTTGTGCTAATAAGCAGCACTTATCCCGAGATGCAACTGAATCTGCTGCTAAAAGTTATTTCAAATCATTATTCTGTTGTGTCACCCTTATAAATGAGTATTAAAAGTTTAAATGAAACAATTTATATATGTCAATACATGTCACAAATGGAGTATGAATATATAAAGAGAACTGTATGCTTAAAAGTAAGTAAGTGATAAGCATATTCATGTTTTTATTAATTAAAGTCTATAAACATTCATGATTATTTATATAAAACGCAATATTGATACCTTGATTGCTTTGTGTCGAGTTCTTGAAGTCATTCCATTGTAACAGACTAGGAGCTTTTTCTTGAGCCATGTATTTTGTCCCATCATAATTTTCATTTGTCGTGTCGGTATTGCTTGACACGGTTACTATATCCAGGTGTATGATTTGGCTTTCAAGCTGAAACAAACAACGATTTTAGAACGCATCTTGAGCAAACATTTTCGTTTCACATTTGCATTTTACCTGAAAACATGAACATATCTGGACTGAATTATTTCTATACAATTTCTTTTATAAAATTAAGGCTCTGAATTTAGTACTGTTTTTATAGTTTTTACATGATCTGAGTAATTACGACATTTTATAAGAAAAAAATGCATTCGATACCGGTTAGCCAAATTAAATATTGAATTATTATTCCAATTTATATAACGAATTTAAATAATTCAAATGCATTTGTAAATTGTCTGATCCTATATCTACATTTACATACAATGATGGGGATCAATGAAGCATACACAGAATGTAGAAAATAGAATATAATGTGCTTAGATAAACTAGTTCTAAAAGGTCAGGAAAGTTTGACCCTTTCAACATACATGTATTTGCTTATGTAAATAAGGGTCTGGAACCTGGAGCTATTGTTTATTTTTACAAATGATAAACAAAAACCAATCTAATATGCAAATATAAAATATACACTATTAGGTATTGTATAATTTACGAAAATCATCAATATGCTGCTATTTAAATAAAGTAAATATAAAATCAAATGAGTATACCATAATAGTCAGGTCGATGAAATCATTTTATAAGATATTTGGATGGTGTTTCTGATATAAGTATAAGATGAATGACACGTTGAAATTAACACCCAGATATTTAATCGAAAGACATTTGAACAGTTAAGGAAAAGCAGATTTACAAAAGCTATATGTTTACAAACCACCAAAACCTGCACAGCTGATATAGATGAAATCATTTTCTATTATATATTTCTAATAATTTTTATTCAAAAGTAGCAATCATTGAATGTTGTGAACAAAGTAAATGAGACAAGCTAGGGCAATCTTAAAGCTGTCATTCATAACAGACAATCACCGTCCATGTATTATTTTTCCCATGAAATAAAAACTTAAGTTATGATGATAGCAAAGTCTGTAGAATAATGTTTTGCGCCAAATATTTTAAAGCATTATGCATTGAGTAACATAGAAAAGTGGATTCTACATTACCATAGAAAGAAATAATAACATACATATAAATAGCATTTGCAATGAAATTCATAACAATGAGACAAAATAAGTATCCTCAAAGCCTGTGCATAAAAATGAACAGAATTTGATGATTCAAAAAGTATTATAATACCATAGCAAATATATATACATTTCATGCAAGGAAGGAATATTAAGAGGATGGTTTTTCGTTTGGGTGACATATAGAGCATATGTTCACGAAACATAAAATTCCATATATTTTCACGAGCCGGAACGACGAGTAAATATAGAGAATTTTAAGAATCATGTAAAGTGAAGATATATTCCATTCTTCACGAAAAAAGGGGTAACCTTATTGTGTAATTTGACCTTCAAGAAAAACGTTGTTTACGAATACATCAGTTTTTTACAATGTACGCAGTTGCAATTGAACAGCGCGAAGTAATACATAGATTATTTATAGGTGCGTGACGCGCTTCGAATTCATACTGTCTTGAAAAAAAATTATATCCAGATAATGTCTTACAATGATGACATGAATAGCTCAAGCTACTCATTGCAATAGAGAAATCACTGAAAAAGTCCCATTTTGGCTCAGCCCATTTTAATATTTATTTTCATATTTGTTTTTCACAAATGATACATATTTGGCTGATATAGCACCATATTACATGGGTAAAAAAATTAAATTACTATTTACAAACAATATAGTTACAGAGAAACATTTGAAAATACTAGTTGCATAAAAGAAGCATACATTACAAAACATTACAAAACCATACTAAAACTAAGAAAAAGAAGCCAAAGTAATATAAACAAACAAAAAGGTTAAAACAAGACTTCGCGCTCACCAACTCTTGTGACACAGTTTTACATCACTTGACATTCTCAAATAGGTTCCAGATTGCTAAATGTTAAATTGGAAAGGATACGATTAATCAATGATAATAATTATGTAAGAGTGCCGTTGTCTAATGAACTCATGTCCTAACGGCTCTAAAAAACAGAAAGCAGCAATTTCGAAATTTTACCTACGAGCTTTGTGTTTGATAGTGGCTCCTCTTTGAAATTATGAGTTATGAACATAAAAAAATACATTTAAATGTAACACATTAGATATTTATATGAAGTTTTCTGAATGTTGCATTCCTTGAAAGCGTTAACGGTTTTCGATAAAATAAAACACATGCAGTTGATCATGATGCTTCTTCACTCTTCTGAATCGTATTATTCGGGAATACCACAAACACATTTTTAAGAATCCGTTGTCAACTGTCGGAATGACGGTCCGTTTCAGAGTCAAAAATTGTTCCTAAGTATTGCCTATTTGATTGCTTGGATTATTGCTGTTGTTGTTGATGTTCTATGTTTTTCTTTCATCACTGTTGAAAGTTTAAGTTTTTTTGTACAGATGAATTTGTAGAATTTTATAAAAATTGGTACACGATGTGTGCAAAGATTATTATTATATTTTGTGACTTTAAAATGTTTATTTCTCTATAAAATATCTCATCATTAGAAGAAAGGGTGCCGGTCAACTTGTTTTTTTTTAAACTTCAATTTCATGTGACCATCTTATTAATACTATAATATTACATTAAAGTGACATAAGTTCATTTATTATTGTCAAGTTGAGCTGAATTGAATATTTAGTTTAAAAAATTGACTATGATATGTAATGGTGATTGACAAACAGTTGGTATTGAAAAATGTTTTGGTTTAAATATAAATCTGCCATAAATATAAAAGGAATTTCCCACTCTTAAGTCTTTATATCAATTTAACGATTCATATACCAGGTGAGTTATTTACCGATTATAAATTGAACGGAATTATGGCAAAATTAAATGTAAAGTTATTTGACTTTAACCTGTTCACGCACTATATACCATTAGATAGACATATTTAATAATAATCACTTTAATAATGATCGACAGTAACAAATCGGCTAAAACAGATAATGATGTTTATAATTTATCTCTATCTATATCTTGTGAGACCATCCAATGCAACGGAACCAACTGAATCTATATTTATATCACATCATGATCATCAAAAGCGGTTCTGCTTAAGTTCGTGTGAAATAGCTAGACTAAAATTATTTATACAGTTCATAATATCAGAAAGCAATATGAAAAAGACAAAAAATCAAGTAAACAACTTTAAATTCTTAATGAAAATGTAACTTTATTTTATATCATTGTCATATGAGCGATTTACTACAAAGTGTTTCATATTGTTTTTAAGAACATTATTCGTTTGCATGTGCGACTTAAATAATCAGAAAAGGATAATGGGAATAAAAATATATTTTACTGTTTTTTACTGCAATAGCGAAGACGCATTCAATACCGATTTATATTGACATATTTGATAGGTTTTCATAAATACTAAGCGATATCAGTACGGCTGAACTATATGTTTAATAATAGATTTGGAAAACCAATTTATTTATACATCTCTGTCATATTTAACATGTATCTTATATACGAGTATATACAACATTCTACTAGATAAATGTGACATTGAATCAAAAGTATTTTTACATTATAATTGCAGATACAGTGTTTAGTATACTTGAAAGAAAACCGCTTGACTTTGTGCATGTAAAAAGAAATTTCGACTAAACATGATTATAGTCTATACGAATAATCTAAAATATGTTAAAATATAATTGTTCTTTTAGGTGCAAGGTCACGTAATACTCACAAAGTATTTTCAACAAACACATTACGTAATTTGTAAGATAAACTATTTAACTTCAAAAGTTTGGTGAGCAAATACATATAAGTATATAACTACTTAATCTTTGAAAATTCACATTTTCCTCGAACCAAATGGCATAATTGTCAGGAACCTAGGTATATATTACAGTTTACCATCTTAATATTATAAACTTAAGCAATTCAATTACGCAAATATAATAATATATATAATGATATATAAAGGAAACATAAATTTAACGAACCGTTTCATTTTGCCAGGATATATCTTCACATTCCATTTTGAATGGTATAAACTTTCAAACATAGCTTATATCCTGAACATGGCCAAATGACTATAAGCTGAAATATTGGCATAACGGAAGCAGTGGTCTTCAATGTTTCCAGTATAATACCTATCAATACTTTTTGGCGGCGTAAACTGTTGAAGTTAATATGTTACAGTAATAATTTTCAATAATCATGTAATAAATGAACTCATTTTTTTTATCAGAACACCAACTGAGTTCACATATTGCTGCTACGAATAATGACACACATTTTTATGAGATCTAATCACTTCATCTTTATCAATTAAATTTGTAAGATAGAGAAACGTTCATTTCCCTGTTCAAGATAGTGTTACATCATTTCCAACTAGGCACAAGTCCTTTAAAAATTCTATATTGATAAAGAATTCACTTTCTGGTTTAGGTTTGTATTGGGTAAACCACTTCAGTTTTATCACGGATCTATAAAATATCATTTAATTCTGGTACCAATACAATGCAGCAAATAATTCCGATTTACTTTAATGACAACACAAAGTGAATGCACAAGTAATATTCTTACGAATATGCTAATCACAATATCTTTAACATTTTCTTTCAATATACAGAATAAATAGTGTTGGGAAAACCAATAGTGTTGGGAAACCAGTAGTGTTGGGAAACCAGTAGTCAAATTACACGCATCCAAGAATACATCCTCGTCAGTTTGTAAATATCTGCATAAATTCACTTTACCGTTTCAAAAATCACTTATTTTTAATGTTTATATCTGAATTGATTAAAATAGTTAAAAATAAAAAACTATTTCCTTACCTGAGAAATAAATTGATTTATGTGATTAGTGGTTGATGACATGTGTGTGTATAATAACTGTTTAACTACATAAATGTGAGGTCAAGCTCTGTATGATATATAAAAGTCAGTTTAAGTTTTAACCCTGCAAGAAAAACAAGCATCTTACTATTTCATGTTATTCTAAATGATAACCAATAATCTGAATAAACAAATAAATATCTACCTTTGAATATCCCATGCAAACTTCTAGAACTCCTGTATAGCTATCGTAGTAAATCGATACTCCGTGATTTTTTTATTTTAGCATACTGCGTATATAATGAATTATAAATAGATCAATTCATTTATAGATTATTCAGGATTTTCCACTATTTTTTATATAGATTAGAGTCGAATCCCTACTTAAGACCACCCCGGAATTAGACCAATCCCCGCTATTAAGACTATTTTAAAAGAACGGAACTTTCTGTCCAGAATTAAGACCACCCCGCTTATTTACTTTTAAGACCACCAGATTCAATCCGAATTAATTGTTTACTTCTTTATTTGACCCCACTATTGAGACCACTGATATCATAGTCAACACATTCCTAATTCTTTAATTTGTTGTATCATCTGCTTGAATGAACTTATTTATGATACTTGATTTCACAAGGTGTCAAAAGCTGTTGTTATTGGGTTATTGTATGAAATTAAGTGAAAATGTAAATTTTAGAGTGGTTTAATTAATGTTGTTTTCGCCACATTTATTTTGTGAAGAATTATTTTTTTATTATGTGAAGTATGTACATCATATAATAATAAATATTGAAATCAGACCAAATAGAATTTAATGTTAAATTTCTTCGTATTTACCTCTCATCAGATTAAATATTATAACATATTTCTATATAATTGTTAAGATACATATTGTTTGTTCATGTAACATGGCTAAAATAGACCATGGTCATAAAGTATGTAAGTAATAAGAATATTCAAAATTAAGACCACCCCGCAATTAAGATCACTTTGGACCAGTCCAAAAGGTTGTCTTAATTGAGGGTTTTCACTGTATTTTTCATGCGTGACATTCTATAAACCGGATTAACTACATTTCATGTAAATGTTACATTGACACATTATATAACAAAGACCAGTAACTTGTTCTTGTGTAAAATAGACGTGGGTTTTGGGAAACCAAAATGGAAGTTACTTGTTCAAAACTTTTAACATGTTATTTTGAAGGTAACATAAACATATTTCTTTATTTTGACTAATCAGCAGATTTACATACTAAAAGAAGGGTAGACAAATTATGACAAATACTTTTTGCATCAAAGGACGGTTATTTTTTAATTATACGTTTCATGTTATATGTTTGCGTTGATTCTACTCGGATGCCCGCTCATGCCTCTTCCTACGTCACTAGTGAAGGTAGAAAATCATCATGTGAACTTTACTATGTCTTTGTTTGTTTAGACTTAAAACCTGACTATTACATCAATCACGAGATAGAATGGTTTGTTTAATTTACGTTTATCAAAAGCAATAACATCTGTATCATGTAAAATGTAAATGAAACAGTAGCTATTAGTCTGATCATACCATGTTTGCAGAATGTTCTCCTTTGTCATAATAAAATATCTTTGGATTTAAATCTTTTTTTGGTACAGTAATTAAGAATGACTTTGTCTTTAAAAAAGATATAATGGTTACACTTCTGCAGCAGATTGACATAAAATGTCCTGGCTAAACCACAAGCTAGTTGATTCTGTGATTCAAATGTTCTGATCTATTAACCTATTCATATTGTTTTTATATAGAGCAGTATCAATTATTTCGAAAGTATTTATTTGCAATTAATGTAATCTATCTAGAGCAACGCCACATAGCAACAACTCAAACATTTATCTGCCCAAAGTTTGTTATTCTTAAGAGTTTTTGCTGCATCATTAATTATAATGAACAATGATGCATCATCTGTTTTCAATGCTATTTAGATCAAAATTCGATGATCCCTCATAACCATAACATCAATTTAGGCAAAATTTATACCCCAATATTCATATCAACATCAGACTTACATACAGAAACATTAAACTGATTATTTTTACTTTTAGTGTGATAAGTGAAAGTAGCTTGTCCGACAAAGGCAAGGAGTTAACGGTAGCTATAAAATCGTAAATCTTCCAATGTCAATGTGTAAACTGCTTATAGCCAAAAAGAAATGGTGCATGTTTCACGTTCATATATCGCGCTTTGCTTTCTTGCAGACATGTGTTTGCGGTTACTATAGAATTGCATTCCTTTTGTCGAGTTAAAATACTATGGGTAAAGTTGAAACATTGAATGTCAAATGCTTACCGTTGTAAAACATGAACGTGGGATTATAACTTCTTGACAGGCATATCAATTTGATATTTAACAAGGATGCCTTTAACAAGGGAAAGCCACATGATCAAACGTAGTTAACTTTACCCAAATTTGTAATTATAAAATACGCCAGACAATTGGAAGATCCAATATGGGTTTCACTGACAAATGCCTTAACAAATTTAAAAATCATACACATAAGGGTAATTATAAAACAATATTCATTCAAAGTCGTCTTGAACAAATTGAAAAACGAAAGAACCATAAACACAACAATTGAAGATCTTTTAAGATTTCGATAGGTTAAAAGTGTGACTTTATGCAACATCTATTCACAAGATGATGAACCAATCATATATCAAGTGCACACTTTTTTACCAAAAAAGTAGGCTACTGTAAAATAAAAAAATCACAGAATGGCTGTAAAAACGTAACAAAAGGAACAGTCTCTGAATGGCACTAAACGAGATCTTAATGTCATCCCATGGCTTTAACAATGTGTTAAATATCTCTGTCTCATGAAAAATTGTGTAGTTGCTCATGAAGGCTTGGGAAATTTTCTCCATTCCTGAAAAAGGGCTCGCTCTTGTTCCAGCAATTTGTGGAAAGCATTGAAAAGGCGTGTGAGAAAGCGAACACTAGCACCTGGTAGTTTGCTGGAACTCCTTTTGTTAAGGAATAGAAAAACACTATAGGTTTGTAATTTTGATATAGAGAAAAACACTTTAGGTTTGCAATTTTAATATCATGCGGAAAAATCCATGAGTTTAAAAGACACTTTTAGGTATTCACGCTTAGCATTGTTAAAATATAGCTTGGTTTATCAGTTTGTTAGCCAATGTGTGTATATGTAACACAGTCCAAAATAGTTTTAGTGATGATGTGCGTGTCTTTAATAGGTTAAAAAGCATGATAAAACTTATATTTTTATCAATTTCAAATATAAATAATTTATTTTGTAAGTGTTCTTCTTACACTAATATAAGTGCACGTTACATAGTTATTTAATATATCATTTAATGATTCATTGCATCGTCGTGTGGTTAAAATTGGTAAATGCTTTATAATTTGAGGAAAATCTTAGAAGTCGCAACACAACTGTGTGCATAGGGAGGACATCTCCTGTATTGTATTAGTTTATTGAATAAGAAATCCCTAAGTGTGACTCAGTGACGTCATGTTTTATGGATATAGTTGTTCATTTGACGATGTTGTATCGGGTGGAAAAATGTCTTGTGCCAGGGCAGGATTAACTGCAATGAGTTGTTCATACACTATATGCATTTTTACACCAAATTCAAACATAAAATCCTTTGGAAATGTGGCTTGCTTATTATGAGATAAGTTATAGAACAACTCTGGCCTCATTCCTATTACAATGCCAATAACTCTAGTAGTTTTATGTTCATTTGTTAAAATTGGGCCTCCGGATAACCCTTTTGCCATATAACAGTCAAATTTTATTATATTTCTATTATTATAATCTCCATATCCTCTATCAATAGATGTATGATCTTTACCAATCCATGTTATATCTTGAGTGAATTCTTCTTTCTTTTTCTGCAGAAAATCTTTAGCTGCTGTCACTCTTGTTTCCGTTAATGGATCTGTTAGAATTTTACATTTTTCCAAATGTTTTTTATATGGACTGTCTGGATGTCCATAACCAATAACAGAAATGTTTCTTATTTTTAGTAAATCTACATTTTTAGGCCACAGCAATAACGGTTTCGGGAGTGTCTCCAAGTTCGCAACATCATGTAACGCTAGAATTGCGATATCCACTTCTTTAACGTAGAATTCAATGATTACCCGGTACGTTTTGCAGGAAACAACACATACAGATTCCGCAAAATTCACAAATATGTTGTCACGTGCAGTTTGAATTAAATCTGTAAAAGTCAAAAAAATGTTCAGCAGTGATATTTATATTAATATCTCAAATATTTTTAAAAAAATAATTTGAATAAAACTAATTTCACATCTTATTTATAAATATTGTAAACAGCTACTGCTTTATTCATCTTCTGTTTCAATTAAAATACGATTCCGGCAAGATTTAGAAACCTACGTTTAATGTCTTTTATCACATGATACGCCGTCATCACATATTTAGAACCAACCCGAAAAACAGTTCCTTCTAGATTTCCGTCGTTAATCAAGGCGCCACACGACATTAAACTGATGTTTAGATTTGCCATTACGCTTTGAGTGAATGTATCGTCCACCTCTTTTTTAAGTTCGCCTCCTTTGAAATAAATAAATATTTTTAGTATCATTTATTTGGCGTCCGTGGCCGAATATTTAAGATCGGGGGCTTCAAACCACTTGTCCCGCACCGCTCTGGTTTTGAATTCCACCAGCTTTGGATTCTTTCATACATACCAGATTACAAAATCTTAAACTAACGTGCAACAAACAAAACACATTTTTTTCAAAGCAGGAAGATTATTAATTTAATTATGCGGAAAAGTTTTTTTTAAGCAATATAAACAATAATAACGTAACTGGTCTAGATAATTTACCTTGTATACATGTCTTTAAAGAGTTTGATGGACTTGCACAAGCTTCTAAACAATCCTTAAATGCAAAGGAAAAAAACAATTTGTATTGATTTATTGATGTTTTCAGATTACAATATATTTCGAATTATTTCATAAATCACTAAGTCTTGCGATCATGTTTTAAATGTTAAACCCTGTCTTTTTATGCATGTAATCATTAGACATACGACGTTTATAACTCAAGCTTAAACAATAGTTTTTAAACAAATTACTCTAAAAATCCTATTTCTTTTTTTTTAACTTTTATAAAGTCATAATATGTATGTTTCATACTAAACAAGTTTATATTTTTATTTTACTCCTTTACTTATGAAGTTAATGTTATTCTTGTATTCTTCAATAAAGAGTAATTGACTTCAGCAAAAAATATATAATATCTTTAATAATTAAAATAATGACATTATTAAACTTTAGTATTTCTTAGCACAAATTGTTACATGTTCTGATTTTATCAATTCTTGAAATTTCATATTAATTTTCTTAACTGATAGTTTTCTTTATATAAAAATTCTAAGTACAAAAAAGAAAAATACGACCGACAAAACAATGTTATTATCGACCTGATCAGTATTGGGTTGCCTCTGTAAAAGTGGTTTCGTTAACTCATGATCCAGTTCTGTTTCTTTTTCTCTAGTTCCATCAAACGTGTCCTTATTTCTTTCAGACTCTGAAACACAAAACCGTTTTTGACTTCTAAATTTGTTTCTGCAGAAATATGAACTTCTTCATCTTACAGACTACGAATTAAACAGAATGAACAAACTCACTGGTGTACCTGTTTAATTAATTTTAGGGGAGCTTATTTTTTGAATTTATAAATTAATTAAATGTAAAGCATTTCATAAATGTACATATCGTAATGATCGTGTTCTCCCTTTACATCTGTTTTTAATAAATTCATTCTTATTTATTGATTAATTAATTTATTTTTAGTGAAATAAAACAATTTTGTTTCTAAATTCATTTGAGTTTTCAAAAAATATTCATAAGTCTCTACTTCATTACTTATTACGTTGAGTAGAGCAAGACAAAAATTATGAGTTCATATTTTGTTTTCTTCAATCAGTTGATGTATTCGTTAAAATATTTATACTAATTCAGACCATAACAAGACGGCTACTTGGTTGCAATGGTCACTTGGGTAGGATCTGTTGCCGCTAGCTGACTTAGGATTGATCAGTTTTCATAAATATTCATAGAAGACAAGCACATGTCCTTGGCAATTTAACCTTTCTTGTGTAATGAATCTAATCTTTCAAATAAATCTAATCTTTCAAGTGTGGTGAAATGTTTGTTTTGTATACTAAAACACATTATACTATCTTTGTTTTATCGAATGATACATTTAATAGACTGGTTTATAATTAGAAGTATTGCAATGTGTATTGGATCTTGTGATTAAATGTACACTTTATATGATTAAAATATTTCCAAAAACTGTAATTGTTAACAATTTGTTTTATAGACTATTGCTTATTAAATATCACTATTACTCTGCACTACATAGATGAGCTTTGATACGTTTTGTATCTTGAATATCATTTAAATTATCAAGAAACATTATGTGTTGCTTTGAGACACTTGGTTGCCTATTCAAAAATAGATAACAAAATATATAAAACTTAAAGACAATCAAAAGCAAAAATAAAAAGCAGAATACTTCAGACGATTTTGTTGATTGCTTAAAGATAAAATATTTAGATAGCAGAAAGACGCTGTAAACAAGACATGCTATACATCCGAAATCATATCTTCGGATGTTGTTTGCCCTTTTAATGAATCTAAAAAAAGAAACACTACAGATGAAAACGAGACTTGTTCAGAAAAAATAAATATAAACAAACGCAACCACATCAATACCCAACTTTTCATAATCATAACTTAGTGACACATATTTAAAACAGTGATTTTATGGGAAGTAACATAAAAGAAGTGAATAATAATTCAAGATATGAAAAAAAGGCAAACAAGGGAGAGTGGTGTTCATTGAACGAATACCCCCCCCCCCAACAAAACCACCGACAAGGAGACCAGCAGGGCTAAACACATATCGGAGATGGCAAAAGGGGAAAGCACGGGCGGGTGTATTGTTTATTATGATTAAAACAGTTAACACCAGTAAGAGGGTAATGATATGCCTTATATCGCTCAACTGTTATTAAGGCTCTTCCAGTGAATGAAAAGCAGATAGATAAAATCTTAAACTTATAACGTTCATATCTTCTCTCTTCATCTGAATTACAGCAAATGTTAACAATATTTTTCCATTAATGGGCTGTCACCAAGTGTTTGAACACAGATGACTCATATTCAATTCTGGAAACAAAGTGATCCCTCGGAAGCATTAATCACAACAAAATTACAAGATAATTGCAGACACGGTTTGATTGAGTCTGTACATGAGGGATAATGAATAGGCGCAACATCCCTACAGCCCCCTAGCACCGGCTTGAGCGGCACTCAACTCTCAACACTTAATAGTGCTGGCAACAATGATCCCGAAGAACTAGAAAATATAACAACACTGAAGTGAAGTAAAAAAAATTACCTTTAATCATTTAAGATATATGAGTTAAGAATATTATATTCATAGTGTTCTGAGTGTGTATTTTATTTTATTTGTTTTTTTATTACCTCAGGTGACTTATATTCGAACTTGACATAGAAATCATATTTTCAACCTTTCTGGCCAATTTCCAGTATATTAAGATTGAAACAGTAGCCCCTAAATGTTAACAAGGTTTTGCCGTATTTGGCCTGTACGACCTAGTTTTAGACCAACTATGACCACCATTTATGAGCTAGAAATCACCAAAACAACCTTTCTGACGAATTTCCCCATATTTGGACCAAGACAGTAGCCACTAAGTTAACAAGAGTTCTCAATTGTTGGCTCCTGTGGCCTTGTTTTTTATCTGAGATAACCCATATTCGGACTCTTCCAAGCAATTACTTAAACAAACATCCTGAAGTTGGTGGCAAATGAGGCAAAAATGTGACCACTAAAGTATTAAATTAATGATCTTAATGTGGACCACAGACGGTGGACGACCATTGAGGTAAAAACATAAGATATACAGAAAAATGACTAAAAGAGGTTAATTTACCTTTATCTCTTTTTTCCTCCTTATCAGGACTTAAATATATTAAAACCTAAAACTACACATTTTTTAATTATAAGATTAGAAAGTAGAAATACTGATACTTTCTTATTAGCATTTTGTGTCTTTTAATGTTTTTTATATGTTTAAAGTGTTTGCTTACACGTCAATGCTTTTCATTTCGAATGATGGAATCACAACTACTGATTTATTCAGCCAAATGAAAACACGATTTCGGTAAAAGGTATAAATATGCACTGTGTTGTAAAAATATCAGTATCATACCTGTTTGTATCTGAAAGATGAGATCAAAATAATGTGTCTGTCTGATGAGATATTTAAGGGAAATCAGTGTTAATCTAACTAAAATACATTTTAATATGTCATTACGTAATGTTTCAAAACTTGCAGACCTGCTTTGATTGAAACTGTTCATGTCTTCTTTCCAGATGTGACGGTAAAGATATGAAAGCAATTTGATCGTGCCGTTATTGATTTACACCATTAAAGCAGAATATTTCGATATTTAATGTGGGGCGGGGGTAAGTAAACACCTACTTGCTTATCTAAAACTTTTAAAATAGGAATTGATTGATTTATGGATCATCGTAAATCATTATCTTAATAATTGCTTTCATTATTTAATACTCTATTTCTCGAGAAAAATATGTCTTATATTCCAGATAACAGGTATATGTATAATGTTTATTTAAAGGTAGGAGATGAATTGCATCATTGTTATATTAGTTAATGCTTTTTGATAGAATACTTACAGCAGACGAAATATCAGTTGTACATGTAAGTATACCACACACAGTTTTAAATTACCTAATATTTTTATGGCTGTATACATTCAATTAAATTAAATGGAAACCACTGAGATTTTTTGACATGCCGGAACTAAAAATATTTTTAGATTTATGTTCCATTTGTTGTAGATCCAGACCAACAAATTGTGTACAAACTTTCAGATCATTCGCTCACTTATTTTTCCAAAAATAATTATTCTAAATAAATGTGAAAGTTATCAAAATTTGAATAGTGTAAGAATTAGAATAGCATAAATAAGCTCTTAGTATATGTTTTAATATATTTAATATACTTGGGTTTTAAGTGTAGATATATGTAAAGTTACAAATTCAAATCCTATGTTTCAAGGATTGGACCTCATTGGGTTCTTTTAATGCTATGAAAGAAATGAAAATTTCAGAAACAAATTTTAAAATAACATTACAGTTCATTCAGTAGTTTTGATTAAAGTAACAATAGCAAATGACTGCAATTCATTAGGATAATTTTATTTCAAGGAAAGGAATGAAGTTAGTCAAAATCGATATATATTTATAGATTAATTTTGATCATACCATTATTGTTATTCTGTGATTCCGTCTCAGGTAAATCTTGACGGGAACGACTTAGCATTTCGAGAGCTGAAAGTAAATAAATCATTAAATGAAAAACAAATCTGAAAACAAAGTGATCCATTGGAAGCATTATTCTCACCAAAACTACATGACAATTGCAGACTCGGTTTCATTGAGTCTGTACATGAGGGATAATGAATAAGTGGAACATCCCTCTCGCCCCTTAGCACCGGCTTGAGCAGTGCTCAATTCTCAACACTTAATAGTGCTGGCATCAATGATTCCGAAGGACCAGTAAAATATAAAACGTATTAAATTTCTTAAATTCAAATTTCAACATTTAAGTATAGAAATAATAGATATGGCCTTAAATTATAACTATTTAGTGGACAAGGCGACTATACACTTCATAACGTTTCTTAAGTTATATTAAGATAGATAGTTTATTCAACAAAAGGTTACAACCCATGAGTTTATACAGTACAATACTCTTATACAATCTGCAAAACAATAAGCCAATTGTGGCTGTTCAAACATGAAAATAAAATTAAAAATGAAACATATTACAATTTTTTACATACATATATGCAAAACATATAGAAAACAGAGGAAATAACATTGTCATTTGTGACATGGTAAGGAGAACAGTTAGGTTTGAAATAACAACTGATTTTTCAATTTGAAAGCTTTAAATACAAAAGTTGCTTATTGTTTACGTGAATATTCATTTTCTGTTTTCATAAGTTAAATACACTTCATAACATTAGGATATTTCCAAAAATGTTTGGCAATGTATTTTATTCTTAAAAATGTATATACACTACACTTCAATAAAAATTAAACTCGTCTTCAAAAAGTTTGCATACATAACATTTTCTTTTATTTCTTGGTATTTTATTTGGTTTGTGCCATCGGTCTGTTTTAATTGCTAATCAATTCGAAATTTAACCACATGTATCTTTATTCTTTAAAACCAAACTAATCTGTAAGAAGACGCTCGTGTTGAGTTTTCAACTGGACTACTAAGGTCTTGTAAAAAAGTATCTTTAAGTCTCTGCTTAAACAAATTAATACATATTTTTTCATTACCTACACCCTATATAACCCAGCATGGTAGAAACCCAAAAGGTATAATAAACATTTTAAAAATTTTGTCCAACACTTTTGTTTTGTTTGTTTGTGTGTTATTTAGCATCATAGTATAAATTTTCTGCCTAATTCACTATAAATAAAATAAAGGAGTTCTGAGTCTGCGGTCTTACACCTAAAAATGATTTACAAAAATGAACATGAATGTTTTCAAGCTTCTTTACTTCCGCAAAGCCCCAAATTTCACATCCGTTATTTAAAATTAGAACGAACCGTTTATCAAAAAGTTCTAAAACATGTGTCATTTGAAGATCTGTGAATAATATGTCATTGACAAAAACTGAAATTTATTAATTTCGTTAAGTACAAGGGTCAATTTCAAATTGTTATTTGTCTTTCACTGGGGCGTCCCTGGCCAAGTGTTTAAAGTCGGTTTTGTTTCAAACCAATTGCATCTTACCGTTGTAGGTTCAAGACACACAAGTGTCGCCATATTCTATTTTTGAGAAAGCTGCCCAGCTAACTTATGGATTGCCGGCGTTCTCTATTCAAGTGCCTAAAAAAGTACGAAGGGGCACCTGAGGTCTTCCTCAACCACTTAAGCTGGGAAGGTGCCATATGACCTTCACAATGTTGGTGCGACGTACGAAATAAAATTTTTGACTGAAAATTCAAATCTATGTATGTAATTGAAGAAGTTCGGTTAACTTTTTAAAAGAAATATTATTTCGTGACAATATTCAAATTAATCAATATCCTACCGTTAGATGGATTTCTTCCATGTCTTTTACCTATAATTGAATAACATACTTAGATTATTTAATAATACCAATTCCATTTATAACTTAAAGACAAAAATACAATATAGATAAAATTGTGTGTTGTTCGTTCTTTCGTTCGTTTCATATCAAGCAGTTTAATCAATGCTTTAGTCATTATCGTTTGAATACAAATACAATGAAATAATGTGGTATAATAGGGAAAATTGGTATAATAATGCATTCAAGAAAGATATTAACATAAATGCGAAAATTTATTGAGTATACCTATGTTCACTTTTTATAAACAGAATATTGTTATTTAGGGCTGAAAAAAAGTATTTTGTTGCAAAGTGTTTCAAACTAAATATGTGATTAGTTTGCTTAAATTAGTATACAAAATTACACTGTTGCCACGTGTATCCTTACTTTGGCACCTTAATGGGTATTTGCTCTAACAAACATGATTTTTTTGTATTTCAGATAAAACCTAGACTTAGAAAAACAACTTAAAAATACCGTTTTTAAAGATTCATTATTGACACGAAATGACACTTACGGTAGCGGATTACTGCATATAAGATTCCAATGAATACGAACGCACAAATAAAAAACACTGAAATGGACAAATATGGACAAATTTACTTTATATTATTTTATGAGTCAAATTTGAATCATGGTACTTTTTGCTCAGAATAAAATAAATAATGATAACTTATGTTTTGCTTTTCTAAACATATTTGTTGATATAAATCGTTTCACAAAAATGAGAGAAAAAATGTCAACGTATAGCAGAACCATGGAAGGTCCATTCCTTCAAACTGATTTTTTATTTTAGAAACAAAAGAGGCAATATTGTATATTTGAAATCTCATCTGATGTGCTAAAGAATGTGCGACACCTGTTTTGCTAGACTAAATGTTAATTTACATTTGTATACAGTTGACATTTTTTGAAAAGCTAAACCGAACATTTGCAATGTCGTATAAGGTAACAAAGGTTACAGTTTTCACATTTGTTTTCAGGGTGGGGGTTAAAAGGTAATAATATTTCAAAGGAAAATCTCTTTTGATAATAGTCGTTTTACAAGAGTTGATTCGGTTGGTATATCCTAGAAAGTTATACTTCTGTACATAAAATTGCATTTGTTTGGTCATGTTGATATGATATATATTTTAATCTTATTGATTGTGTGTACATTTGTAGATAGCTCAGAGGAAGCCATTACAACAACAACAATTTACTTACCGATAGCTATAAGTAATATATGCTTCCAGTCTGTTTGAATTGGTTCTTTGTTTTCCTCTGAAGCGATTTCCGTTGACTTGTTTCTAACATCTGTACAAAAAGAAAACTAAAAACCTAGTGTTCATCTATCCACCTGGTCGCACGTCAGCCTTCTAACCTACTTACTTTCGCATCAGTGTTGTCTGTCTGTGTTATCTACATTTATCTTGTCTGTCAGTCTGTCTGTCTATCTCACCCGTAGCCAATATTCTGTACAGAAGTGCGTCAGTGCGTGCAAGAAATTAAAGCAATGTACGAAACAATCAATGTTATAAATTGTGTGCAAGCATGGAATTTTATCAAAACTGATACAGTTAAGAAAAAGATAAAATGTCAAAATTCTAAATTGTTAGTTTTATCAAACGCATTTCGGCAACAAACCTTTGATGCTGTCTCCGGGTGACTCACTGATTCCTATATTTGAGCTGGAACTAAAACAATCAATGTGTAAGTAAGCATACATGTCTCATAAATATATCATTTTATTGCGCTTTGTATTCGAATTTTATAATTAGATATGTTTAAACAAATCATTATGTACTGTATACAATGTTTCTGAAATGGGTCGATTGTGTATATTTTTTTCTTTAAAAAATGTTAATAAAATATTTCAAGAAATTAAAGAAAAAATATATGATGTCTATATTTGGTGATATAAAATCTCATGTTTTCTACAATACTTTATATATCTTTGTCAAACTTCTTACTGACCTACAATTTCGCTTGCAGATAAAATGGTCATGGTCATCTCTACATTCTCCTGACGCACATGCAGCTACACAGGTCCCATCTTATAGAAATATAAAGTTTGAAATTAAATGTCAGTCACAAAATGTAATTACGATAGCAGACAATTTATTTTGTATCACTTTTGTACATACATTAACAAAATATAACAAAGTCATAGAAGAAATAAGAGTGCAAAACCATTCTTAATAGTTATGAGAGAATAAGAACATGATCATAGATAAATAAACCGATTTAAAAGAAATTTAGAAGATTTTAAAGGCAGAAATATGTGGCGGCAATACAACCTATATTACTAGCTTCAAAAACGCATATCAAGTAATATTCAAATTTTAACTATGATACATGTGTACAAAGTAAAATTATTTATTATATATTAACTTGGCCCTCATATATAATTTTTCAAAGCAGGTTTTGACAGAATACTTTACAATAGTTACATTTGTGAGCAAATATATGCATTTCTAATTATCAATATACATTAGACCTCTGTCATTCGTTTCGCATAAGTCGATACTAAGCACCTTTCTTTTTGCGAATAAAATTATATGTCGTTTATCAACTAACAAATTTTCATTTTGTAACCAATGAATATTAGACATTCTATAAACATACATATACATAAAAAGTAAGTAATCATTATTTTATTCCAGTGTTAATTATTTTTTTGGATAAACTACCTAAATAACCAACGTGTGTATAATTTGGCACTTGATGCGTAAGGAGGTAAGTTTAGAAGGAGATAATGTTTTTTTGCCCTGATTTAAAATCAGACAAGGTACTACAAAAACCATAAAATATGCTTAATATAATTAAACAATTGACTCACTAGGCAACGGATTCTTGTTTTCGACACAGCCTGGGTTGATCTCCTTTTTGTTTCGACAGAAGTAGATTTCGTGTGCACTGTCTTGGTCGTAATTGAGAAAGGTTTTATTTGAGAGATTATAAAATCCTTTTTTATAATTGCAGTAAACATATGTAGGTGATTTATTATCTCCAGTGGAATAGACGATATACCAGTCCTCGAGGTTATTTAAGTCTAAATGTACTTTTCTGCAAGCATCGAAACAATTTGATTTATTAGGCTGAAATCTACGTTCTGGGCAAATTTCCTCCTGTACTTTGACAATATTCTTGTTCTCCTTGTCGATCCAGGCTTTTCTCCACACACCTTAAATGTACCAATACAGATCGAATCTTATTTTTAGTATTTTAGTGAAGAAATGTAAAGGTATATAATATATATATTAATCAGTTCAATGAAAACAAACGCTTTTAATGCTATAATGTAGCATAGTACAACAAAGCTTTTCTTTATAATACTTTAGAATAACATTAATGTAAGCAATACTAGAAAGCTTCAAAAGTCAGAAACATAGACTAATAATTATTAAATATTTTTAGATTGTTTCATTTCTAACAACAGTTCTTTTTTAACCACTGAGTCAATTACAAAAAAGTTTTGTCCAAAATACTCTCATAGATTTACCCCTTATCTGTAACACAAATGTACTTGAATAACTAAGAATTTGTAACTTTTTAATATGCAAACAATAATAAGAATGTTTACCCTTTTCACATGACAGGTCTACAGGTACGCATATGTGCGCCATTCCACCTTCAAGCGTGTTAATACATCTCGCTTTATATTCAGGTTCACACAATGACTGGAATCCACAATGTTTTATTGTTTCAGATAGTAGAAATCCACTCTGTTGACATGATTGGGATCTATTGAAATTAGCATGACTACAAACGTTTGTGACTAGAAGATCATAAGTGAACACCTGATGGTCCTGTATAGATCTCCGGGTATTCAATGACATTCTGGCTCCCAGAAGCGTTCCGAAAAGAACAGGAAGTATTCGTATCTAAAAGAAAAAAATCTTTAAAACATGGCAATTCTGGTATCTCTTACAAATGTATTTTTCACTTGAATACGTTTAACGTATACCGTACCGTAAGATAGTTTATCTGATCCGTTGTTATGCCAAAATCATCAGTCTGTCATATCTTATAATGTACGTATGTAGCAAGTTGTTTCTGTCACAGTGATAAATATTAATAACCAATGCTTGTTATCAATGACTTGCAAACATATTGATATAAACAAGCATTAGGTAAAAGCTTTTATTATATACTTATAAATGAAATATTGAGAAATATTGATGAAATAAAATGCGGATTTTCATTTTCCTATTTTCACTTTAAAATTTATTTTTCACTACATATTTTCCGTATTTTCACTGGTGTCTTGCCGGACTACTTTCTTTTAAATTCTGCCATTACACAAAATTTAAGGGAAAGTCTTTCAAATTTTAAAGCAAAAAAGAGAAAAATATATATAATAAAAAGAAAATTCTAGTTTTTTCTATAAATACATGATTTATTTTCATCTTGTGGCATGAAAATTACCATATTTCACTCGTGGCTACCGCCATTCATGAAATATTTATTTTCATACCACTCGATGAAAATAAATCATGTATTTATAGAAAAAACTTGAATATCCTCTATGTATTATTTTAGTTCATTTATGTTATGTCATGAAATGAAAGTACAGGACATAATTTAATGTTAAAGACCAAAGCATACACACACTGAAGCATTTATGTTATGTCATGAAATGAAAGTACAGGACTTAATTTAATGTTAAAGACCAAAGCATACACACACTGAAATATATATATATATATATATTTACCAAACAATTGTATACTTTTTTCATTTTTGAATACCAGATCAGCAAACGCTACCCCTACTTGGTCTCTGATGTCACCTTGCTGACGTGCCTTAAACGTGTGCTTGGTTCTAATCCTTTAGATAATCACTATAATGCAATGACAAACTATTGTATTAGATACCTGATAAATTTGAATCTTACTTATATAAACAGAAGCTTTTAGCAGACGTCCTGGGCAGCTTTACAATTTTTCACCATACAGCTTGATAAATTGCAGATAGGACGTAAAATAAAAAGGAAATTGAATATAAAAGTACTTTATATTCATTATTAAGCTCAATGGGTAAAATACCTATATAACTATAAACATAATACTTTCATTACAAATCTTTACATGAATTTCCCGCTCTGGATTTTAAACAATTTGCTTATATAAAGGGGTAAATATTCATCAGCCTAACGTTTTCTAATTGTCATGTCGCTGACTGTCATGTAGGTAATTGTACAACGTTTCATTAATTGGTAATGATTTGTTTGTGTAATTTCTTGTGTTCAGTCAATATATATGTTTGTATTGTGGCCAAATGGCCAAATTTAAATTGAATAAGATAAACCGATAGTAAAAATAGAAATAATGAACCTCGTCCGACTAAGGTAAAAAATACCAGCCCTTAAAATGGCCTGAAACAAAGAAAAATCTATTTTAAGGGCAAGTCACTCGAAAATTAGGTCGTTGACCTCAGTTTTTGTCTTCAAATGTTACTGTTATGAAATTCTCAGGTCACGCAAACCTAAGATAATTTCTATAATGTAGTTGTAATTGCTCTCTATGTGTTTACGTTACTGAAGCATACGCCTTAAGAATAAAGAAACATTGATTATTGTTACATGCGGACTCGAATGTTTAAACCAAATGTTAGATAAAATTTTGTACTTAAACATGTTTATATTAACGAATATTTTAGGGACAGATATTATGTTATCGTGTATAAAAGGTGTACCCTGTCCCCTTATTTGCTTTTAGCTGTATTTATATTTAGATTACGCTGTCTTTATATTTAGAATACTGTATATAGAAACTAGTTATCTAGAGAATCGTTCTCATATAGACGCAAAATTTATTGAGTTGTTTTCAAGCATAATGTGTCAGGCCAGATGGATTAAATAGATGGGCTTTTTTATAGTATCAATTATGGGTTTTTATAATTTATTTGAACGATGTCTTTGTAAGGTGAGGCACACTAGTAAATATTGTGAAAAAGTGTGTAATTTCGTTGAAGACATTAAACTCTTCTTACGAATTGTCACTTAAAAAGTCTTATAGATCATAGATACATTAGATCATGTAAAGATTAATACATGATCATTCGCACAAATTATCATTCATGAAACATAGGGATTTGTCAGATTGCGATTTTAATCGTGGTAACATGTTAGTGATACTTCTCATCCATATCTGAACTGAATGATAAATATCTACCCGCGCTTTCATGTTTTATTCAATTCATCTGATATTTGTATTAAAATAATTTTCAAGAAAATAGAAATAGTTCAGGAAGGATAATAACAATAAGTGAACAAAAGTGATTCAAATACAGCAATATATGGAATAGGAATGTTAATACTGCAATAAAGTGATCAATTACATGGTAATATCCATCTATAGATTTGGAATAACGTGTTATGGGCGTTAGTTATTCTTTGTTATCTAATCGAATTATTGTATATGAAGAGCAATGATGTCAACGTATAGGCATGCCTTTGTGAGTATTCTTTGTTAAATTCTCTTTTTTTTTTGTGAAATTGTATTATTGGCTATTACACATCCACTTTCCGTTTGAATGTCTAAAATAAAAATTGCGACGTGCGTTAATATCGCAGTTGATTAGCAAGTCGAAAACAGTCAACTGACAATATTTTTGCCGCTTGGTGTGAAGCTGACTTATCTTATTTTAGCTGATTATTTTAATGTTCATTGTTATATGATTTCCCTACTGTCTTTTCTTTTATTTATTTGATACATTTTATTTGAATCTGCATGCCTATAAAGAAGCCAACATATTTCGAGAAAATCAAACTTTAGAACAAGCACTAAAAGTTTATATATCAAAGATTCAAGATAATTTACATGACTATAAGTGCAGTATTTATCACCATAATTCTACTGCGTGACAAACACAGTAAGGTATATTTTTTACTAATTTTGGCCAATGTTTGGTAATTTACGTGAATTGCAAGTTCCAATTGCAATGTGTATTTTTTGTTCACTCCTTAATTACATTTGCAAAATGTCCATGGAAATAAGCTTGAATATCGAGGCTTGCAGCTTTAATTACCTTTGAATTATTATATAAACTATGACATATTACATATCATGTACATATAAACTATCATTTCAAAAATTCAAAGAACTGTTTATATTCACTGGCCGTGGAAGAGGTAAAGAGGCATCGCAGTATGAAACAAAAACGGTAGTAGGTGGGCTTAAACAACATTGAGTGTTTAGTCTTCAATGTACCATTGCAATGTAACACTGACAAATATAGCCTTGTTTTTTTTGTCCGTGGTAACGAGGCACGTGAATACTTATATGCAATATGTAATTAAAATGAACAATTAAGTTCTTCTTTTGTTAATGACTATTTTCAACATGGTGATATACAATGTAACTTAAGATACCACAATTCTGACTCATTTTCAGACCCTCGTCTGTTCAAATGTCGATCTGATCGTTAGATTTGGATACTCAAATACACAGAGAATATTTTTATGAAAACGTCGAAATTATTTAAATTGGGCAAGTTATTCTTTAATTTTGCGTAACAAAAAAATGAACTTTATAAGTAGATATTTAGAAAAAAAATTCTCTGCGGAACATAAAATTCTATTTATTTTTTAATTAAGCACGTGCTCTCCCGATGAGCCAGTTTATTTCAAGAAAATCAAACTAGAAAAAGTAAAAAGATTCAAGATCCAGTACATGTTATAAATTACCCATTAGTTTGATAAATCATTTTGCTGAATGTATCACCATATTTCTACTGCGTGACTAACACAATAAGGGTTTTCTTTTTTTTTTACATATTTTGACCTTTTTGGTAATTTTACAATTACAATATGTAAATTACTTGTTCCTTTGATTATTTCACAATATTTTACTTTTAGTTACATTTTCTAAATTTTCATAAAAATATGCATGACTCTGATGGTATGCTTCTTTAAAGCGTTAATATGAAATACATGAGCGTCACGTGAAAATCTAGTACATGTACATGTTCCTGGTTTCCCAACGGTTAAATATAGAACTAAAATAGTTATATTTGCCATACATGTATAATTCATTGAAACAGGTGTGTATATAAGTTGCATATTTTTAAAAACGACAAATACTACAAATTACTGTGAGGAATATTTTGTCAAGATATAGCCTTTGATCAATAATAGAAGAAATGACATATTTTATTCCCATGATTATGTATAATGATAAGTTACTAAAAAATCACAAGTTCTGAAATGACTCATGAAAATATCATACTTTAATTCTAATAAAAGTAAGTAAAATATCATTTAGGAATGTTAATAATTATTATAAATATCTGCAGTAATTATGTAATTATTATCCAACAATCTAAACTACAATATACCTACAATTTACCTACTTTAATATCCGATTTTCACTTTAATAGTCTCTAAATCGTTATCAGAACTAACCTTACAGAACATAAGCTCTATTTATAAACAAACGTTAACATAATATTACCTGTAAATGGTTTCCCACCGAATGTTATGACTAACAAGTGAATTTAAAGCGGTATCTAGTGTTGTATTCAAACTGATATTTATAACGAAATATAGTGAAACAGACAACATACCGCCTATTTTAGAATGAATATTGTGAAATTTGTTCAAGACTATAAACTAGCGCTTTCGTTGAACTAACATGCTACTAGTGATCGCCATGCCATAAACCCCGGCATTTGCATAATTCAGCATTTAAACATTATTATTTTTTTACCATGATATCAATTACTTCATGAGCATTTTGTAAATAAATTGCAGTTTTCACTGAAAAGCCTCCTGTTACTAGATCAAATTGCTATGAAACTATAAAAAAAGGCTTCAATACTGTTAAACTTAGAACAAATGTTAACTGAACCATAGCCTTTGTAACCGCATACTCAATCATACATTTCCTGTTACAATGGCAACGAGGGAAAATTGCCAAAAATCACTATTTTGCGTGGATTTTTCCATCAAAACTGATTTCAAAGTGCTCAATTGATTAAGATAGAGTCAAAGGCATTTCAGTGTTGGTTACACGTTACTTTAAGGTCGTCCTGAGGCCATTTAGTCCTCACACGTCTAAATATTTCTTTGAGATGAGGGGGTCTCCTGACCCCCTTCAAACCCCCAAGCAGAAGAGGGCACATCTCCCTCTGGCACCCCTTTGATGAATCTATTTGACTGAGGTTGGCGCTGAAAAAGTAATTATTTTTTTAATACCATTTCTTAAAAAAGAAACAAGTGCTTGGGGTCTAAATATGGCATTTTATACTATGTGGGGTCTCAAAAGGGGAGGGAAGGCGAAAAAAGACGTCTATTTAAAAGAAAAACTCAAGTGTTTGCATTTAAGGAAATGTAAATACACTGTACATGTATTTGTTTTGATAAAACATGTAGTAAATTAAAATATGCATGCATATCAGTGGTTTACATGTATATAAGTAAGTAGATTATTCCTTACCTTAATATAAAACATTGCAAAATGTGTAGCGGTTATATCTATGGTATGAAATAAAAAAAATAGACAGAATGTATGGCACAGATATTTTAATTATGTTGAACCAGCACGGGCCAATTGAAATTGTGTTGGTGTTGTTGCTGCTCCAGCTGCTTCTTTCTGTGTAATCATAATTCAAGTTATAAATTTCTATCATTATATACTTGATGAAATCAAAACCACCATTTGCAAATGAAACTACCATACATAAAATGTTCATTTAACAATACCTCAATTATTAACTTCATGTACATTAAACAATAACATTTAAACCCCCACCGCTTATTTTGATAATTGTCTTAACACATGCGCGATATTGAAAACACTTACTGTTTACTCTAAATTTAGAGGGTATCAGATTTAATATTTCATAAGCAATTGATAAAGCTAACATGTAATCATTCGTTATATGGACTTTAAGGTATTGGCGAACATAGACTTGTTTGAAGAATTTATTTTCTGACTTTAAGATTCTAGGATGTTATGTTTAAATCAGTTGTATTTGTGTTAAAAGATTTAAATAACTTTTGAAATCGGTATTTCGTATACACATAATGTATTATATAGAATACTTGTAATATGTGCTTAAAATGAATCGTTCAACAATAGGCACATTTTCCATAAGTATTTTCAAATATTGTTAAAACTATAGAATGTATCAAACAATTCTAGAAGGTGGTGATAAGTTTTGTCTAGTTATACGTACATAAGTAAAACAATGTTATATATTATATATTGTAAACTGTTACAGTTGTTTGCAATAATGTTATGTGTAAAGTAGGTTATTCTTATACTGTGAAACTTTTAGATATGTCCAGATATATCAAGTAATATTTGACTTTTCAAGTTCATTTATTATTTATCTGTTGATCTACTGCATCATATCAAGTAAAATTTTAAGCTAGTACATGTAGCACATTATTGCATTGAAGTAAAACAAGTTATCTCCCTTTATTCATGATTTGACTACTAATACTTCAAATATAAATAAAAATCCATACAGCATAATCTATAAATATGAAAAGCTTCGTTTAACAAACAATTACAGTAACTGCTGACAATGATGATTGATCACTGGTAAAACATTTAGAGACCGCGAGAGGCGCTGCACTTAATTTTTACAAATATTAATAAAGATTAATACAGGATTATTTAGAATTGGAAATCGTCATAAGGTTTCAAGGCTCTGCTTCTTCAATTTTTTCATCTTGTTCAGAGTTTCCTATCAGATGATCATTTGCTCCATAATGAACGTTAATTGTGTCAGCTTTGTAGTGATGTTTTTCTCTATTATCAACTCTTGACTGATGTATTCTTTGCAATGGACCTAATTGAAAGAGAAAACAAATTACTTATTTCAATAAAAAATGTAGATCATATAAAATATTGAAAACAGCTATTGTTTTAATGGCTCTTTATAAGATAGTATATATTTGTACATTTTATGAAATACGTAGGGTTTTTTTTAGCTATCGAAACCAGTTTGTTATAAGCATTTAACACTAAGAATATAGATTTAAATTAGAATTACGGCGATTCTGCATTATTCTGTATCCTTTGGTTATCGCCAATATAATAACCACACAAACTCCTGAAAAAGAAAGAAAGTACACTTGTTTGAAATCATTGCTGTTACTATAAAAATAAGCTCATTTTTTTTAAGTTCGAGCTATAACATTATAACCGCTTCTTCCAACATGTGTGAACTGTAATATTAATTCTTGTTTGAAATAATGCATCTTCAAACCGTCTTTCATTCATAAAGAGAAAACATGAATTATTTACATGTATAACTTACAACCTATGTAAGAGGAGTCCTGCCAAGAATAGGCGTGTTTTTTCTGTTTTTAGAATTAAATTTGATACGTGGATTACAATAAACGTGATAAAAAAAGTGTTTTTTTTTTTTTGTTTGTTATTTTTATATTAACTTCTATGAAAAACAGGATTTAGAATTTTGTTTTTTCCGTAACGCAATCGGTAATTTTCGCCGCAAAATAATGATGTTATTATCAAAGCGTTTATGAATTGCAAGTGAATTTAATGTGGTTAACACCCCTAATTTATCTAGAATAAGTGCAGTATGCAAGATGACTCATATAACGAAATATATTATAACAGTTAACTCAGGATGAATGTTGAGTAATTTATTAAAGACTTTCTTAGACTAACATGCTCATCGTCATGCATGCTTAGGAATGGGATCGTTATTCATAAAAATGGTATCAGTCAGTCGGCATAATTCTATGTTAAATGTTAGTCACATTACCGGTTTATGGGCACAAATATAAACAGTTAAGTTATTATTTTTATGCCATAATTACCAACAATAAGAATGGTCGATTCTACGCTTAGTTCCACTAATGTATAGATTCGTTCTGTATCTTCTGAAAAACAAAACAAACCACTTGAAATCTATTTAACATACACACAGAAAACTACGTGCATGTGACTCTCTAAACTGTGATGTCACACAGTTTGAGGAAAAACTATTGTTTAATCTAAAATTATATCAAGCAATTACTCAATTCTAATGATTGTGTGAAGAATATTGTGCGATTTACGGGATTATTCTACAATATATGAAAATAGAAATAAAATTATGACCATTATCTTCATTAATCATTATATAGATTATATTTAAGGACAAATGCGATTAGTTGTCGATTAGTTGTTTTTCATTGTGCGTTCAACAATAAAGAATAAAATTTCCACACCATTGACGATTTATTATACTAGATGCAGATATAATCTATTAAGTAATGATTTAAGTATTTGAACTATAAATATCTGTAATCGACTACGGTTAAGATCTCCAATTGATAAGCTACTTCAATATGTTGACTACCTTCTTTAATAGCTTGATAAACATCGATAAACTTCTTCAATATACTGATAACCTTCGAATTATTTTAATATATTTGTAATCTTGTTATAAATATTCCGTTAACCTTTTCCAAAATTTGGCGTTGTATTTGTTGAGTGAATTAATCAAAATCTTGCTCACCTTCGTTTTCTTTTTCTTTATCTTCTTTACTGGTTTTAGAATCTTCTGTTTCAATATGTTGATTCTTTTTTACTTTTTCATTATCTTGAGCACCGTCCTCACCTTCCTGGCTAGGTACCCTAGTATTCTGATCACTTAATGCAGTAGTTTCAACTACTGGCACGTGACTCGTGCTTAAAGAAAGCAAAATCATTTATGTTACATTGTCGATAACTCAAATCTATAAAAATAACAGAGAGATAGAAAATTAACTGAATTTTGTTTGTTCTGTGTTTTGTTTGTTTGTGGTTATTTTTGCGTTTTTTGTTTGTTTTGATTTTGTTTTGTTTTTTTTGTTTTGTTTGTTCGTGTGTGTGTAATTTTTTAAATAACAATAGAATCTTTAAATGATACTTCTGATGATAATAGCCTCTTCTAGAAGATTAATTTAATTACCTTAGAGTAGTGTTTTTTGAAACACACATTAATGAGTTGTTCCAGTCCCTTATTGTGTCGGAGTGACATTTAATAGCACATTTGCAATCTGAAGAAAAAGAGTGATATTGTGTTACAGCTGTTTCATTATTTAATGCCATTTTCATGAAAATAATAAAAAGACAATATCTCTCAACGCTTTGCATTTGCTTATGCGCACTAATTGAAATGCAGTCAATGATACCAGTGACCAGAAGGAAACACTTTGAAATGTAAATGGTAACTATATAAAACTGGCACCTTCCGCAGAACAAATATTGTTGTAAGTTCAGACTCTTTGGAACGTTAATCATTAAGCTAAACGCGATAAAAAAAAAACATTTTCTTAATTATCAAAAACAAAGCATAGATACATGCATTTGAAATTTTATTTTTAATTTCTTTAATGAATAAAAGCTTACTTGGCAATAATTCTTCCTCTTTGTCGCATTTAATCTTAAGATCGCGCATTGCGAGTAGGCAATAGTCTTCTGAATAGCCTAGCTCAAAAAGCGATATATTATATCCATTACAATAGTTTTTATGCGAGTTACATCTGGCTAAAGCTGGTCTATCGTTTGTAGCGTTTTGAATTATGACAACTGATTCATCCTTCTCGCATTTTGTAAAACAGTTCCAATTACTTTTCTGGAAATGTGCAGGCTGAAAATATCCGACTGCGCATTCAATGCTGTGCACATTCAAATGTTCTTCATGCTTTTGAATATCGTATGTAAATATATCCTGGTGTCCTGAAAAAATATAAATACTTCTACATTTTTAGACTTTTCTGTGCAAATAGGCACAGACTTATGAGATTTATTTAAAAGTATTATAACTTATCTGCAAATGAAATATTTTATCTGACGGAGGCACATTTTGAGTTTATCAATTATCGGTTGTTGTAATTCGCATCAGTTACTTCATCAGTTCGGTTATAAATTGTTAATATTGACGTTACTTTAAAATACTGTGTAAAGTATTTTGACAAAGTGGCAACACTATGAACATAAAAACATATAAAAACATGTATGACATACTTTTCTTACAGCGAGTAGTTGGTCCACAAATATGAATAGTATTGTTGTTTGTTCCATCCAAACAAAAGTACATTTCATTTTCCTTGCATGCCCCTCTAAAGCAATACAGTTGGTAGAAAGAATGGCTGTCCCAATTTGTATGACATTGTGTTAACTTCTTATGTGTACAATGTGAAGGAACTTCTAATATTCTGAACCGTCGCTCATCACCTAAATTAGTCCTTGGTGATTTATCTAACTAAAGTGATGACCCTTGTTTAATATCATTATCACAGTCTGCGACACCAGACATTGTTAAAGTCTGGATGAATAATGTGTAGAAGGACAATAAAATTGCATCTTGCGAGAAGAATTGTGACATCTGGAATTTTAAAAAAAAAGAAAATATATTGGTAATAATGACTTTGATCTTTGTCAAACGCTTAACTCCATTTTGACAGTTTCTATAATTTTCTACGTTTTTGTTTTTTATTTACATTCAATCAATTTGATTTTGTTAGTTTGTATTTAATTTCATTGATTAAGTGGGATCATACTAGTTCAAAGTTATTTATACTTCCACCAAAGTTTTTTTCAGTCGCTTCAATCATTATAATATTTATATTTTCTTTATTACTGACCATTTTGAAATGATATTCTCTCTGACGCTCAGTACTTGAATGACTATAAACATATTGATTAAGTCGTGTATTACACATTAATTATAATTAAATATTTTTACCCTGACGTTTGTTGACAAGCTATTAAATGACATTTCAATGCGTATTACCTTTCAGACTTAATCATTATTTAAGTATGTTCAATGAAGTCATATAACACGGCAGTTACACAGACGGCCGGTCCCAAATCGTAATATCAATTTAATTAAGTCTTTGTTTTGATAGGGTAAGATGCATTATTGTAATTTTATTTAAGTTTTTTGTGTAAACGGCAATCGCTGATGGACCCGTTTAAATTGTTAATTCCTAGTACCCACCGATAAAAAACGATAAAATCCCACAATTAATTGTAAGTATTACTTGATCGTTTTTACATGTAGCCCACCGGTGAAAATTGGTTGTAGACAGTTTATAGGTAAACGAGAATTTTTAACTTTTAATTTTTTAAAACACCAATCGGTAGTTTTCTCCAATGAAACTAATATTTCCCCAATAGCAGTTGATAGGTTGAAAGCAGGTAATGTAGGTGTTATATGTAAACACGCTGTTATTTGATCACTCCATAATTTGCCTAAAAAACTACCAATGACAGTGTGCAAATAGGTTGAAAACAAAATCAATCCTTATATAAATTGTATAAAACACGTTTCATGGTGTGAAATATTTTTTAAATATTTACAAAAATTGGGCATTTACATAGTATAAACGGGTGCCTTAGTGATGATTTTAAATAAAAAAATTATATTTGAACCCTTATTTCAATTATAAGATTTATTTAAACATGTTCATGTGCTTGCTATTTTTCAATATATCATTTAAAGTAGGAATGTATATATATATAAATACTCACCTCACCTTTTATTTAACCAATTTATGACACAGAAACCAAATATTTTTTCTCCGTTGTTTTCAATTTTACCTATTTACCAAATACAATTCCCACAAATAAAAAAATTAAAAAAGTCCAATTAGCTAGTTTAAATGCATTGAATATCAGGATTAGCTTCCAACTAAATCATTTCAAAATGTCTTAAAGAATGTAAAAGAATTGAATGGAATTATTATTAGAAATGAATTTCAGAGGAGTGGCAAGTCTGATATCATATAATATACTAGTACGCATTAAATAACATTCCAATGTATTGTGCGTTAAATAAAGTGTACTGTTGCAATCTCGTAAGCGAATGTTCGGATTATTTAAAAGGACGGAATATTTTTGATAATGAAAATTGGAAAAAAAGTTTCGGCTTTTGTTGGCCAGACTGAAGCTTATTTCTACAGCATTTAAAACATATGTAAACTTCATTCCAGTTTACTTATCACTGGTTATTTTTGAATTATTACTATGTTTGGATTACGAGTTCAATTAATGCTAGAGTGGCGGTATGGCCGAGTGGTTAACACGTTGGACTAGTAGTCAAAGGATTGCTGATTGCGTTGGTTTAAACCCTGTCAAAGGTAAGCCGTCGTTTCCTTAGGCACAAAAATTTACATTCATTGCTTAGTACTTATTGGTATCAGGACCGGATTTCAGTGTTTCAGTAAGCTTATGGATTCTAACACAACAAAGTATTATTAATTAAATGTATAACGGGTTTACTTAAATTCAACAAATTTTGAAGTAGTTAAGACGAAAGCTATTCTACTGCTTCATATCAACATCGTTTTTAAATACAAGTTTGAAGATATTTAAACCAATGGCTCGGACAAATAAAATGTTTTTATTATATACTTAAAAATGAAATAATGAGAAATATTGATGAAATAAAATGCGTATTTTCATTTTCCGTATTTTCACTGTAAAAATTTATTTTTCACTGCAGTGAAACATATTTTCCGTATTTTCACTGGTGTCTTGCCAGACTACTTTCTTTTAAATTCTGCCAGTACACAAAATTTAAGGGAAAATCCTTCAAATTTTTATATCAAAAAGGAGAAAAATGTATATAATAAACAGAAAATTCAAGTTTTTCTATAAATACATGATTTATTTTCATCTTGTGGCATGAAAATTACCATATTTCACTCGTGGCTACCGCCACTCATGAAATATTTATTTTCATACCACTCAATGAAAATAAATCATGTATTTATAGAAAAAACTTGAATATCCTCTATATATTAATACATTTAAAATGTACAGGATGAGACGCTTAGCATCTTTTATTATCATTTTTTATTATTGCAATAAATCACATGATAGACAAATATTAATGGAAAAAATAACAATATCCATAACATATTAGGCCTACGATCGTCAAAGCAAGAGCATGAAAAAAGAATGGATCTTTTAAACATCCGGATTAGAAATGAACATGAGGAACACAAGTAAAAGGAGCAGACAGAAAGTTTGCATTTTCAAGTGGTAAATATTTTGAATATTTCATTTTTCGTTTTCACATGATTTGTCAAGATATTATAAAATAGGCGGTTCTGACATCATTTAATGTGTATTAAATTTTTACCAGAAGACTAGGCGGCCACAAGTTTGATCATATGATATAAGGATATCAAATATTTGTCATTTTTGGTTACTTTCAACAGATGAGAGAAAAAAAAACGCTTAAAGATCGTATCAATTTCAATTAACGTAACTTAACGTTTTACAGAGTACACATGACCATTTTAAAATTGCTTTTGAACGAAAAGATTTAAGAATTATTTCTTTTTATAAAAAAAAATAATTTTCTATTGAAAAAATTTAAACTCAAACTGGATTTCTTAATAATATTTATCATATTATAGCTCGTTCAGTTCCAGTGTAGTTACTGGTATTCTAATGTATGACTCCCAGTAAAATACAATAAATCAGATATTGTGATAATGTTTATAACATTCAGAAAATCATTGTTTCTGGTCTTTAAAAAGAAAAGTCTAGTCACGTTCTGGTAATGTTAATTTGTGGATTTGTAACTATTAAGATTAATTCATTGCCATGTGTCTTTCTTCTTATATTATATAATTATAAAAATTTTCGTTTGTGAAAAAAAAATGTCTTAAGTTAACACTTTGGTGTTTTGTTAAAAAAAACATACGCATAACTTCATAAACAGACACTATTCTTTTAGAATTTTTAAAGAAGTTAGGAATGCGCCTTCACTACATACTACGGAAGAACAGAGTGGATATTCACATTTTTGTCTTGTTTTCTCTCGTGGCCGCCGAGATTTAACAACATCAACAAAAATGCTATCTCGTAGCCACTAGATATAACTGAAAACAAAAAAAACTTTGCTTTTCTCGTTTCCAAGAGATATTACTGGAAGTAAAAAACAGAAAACAAAAATTCGCTTTATCGTGCTCAGAAATAAATTGCTTTCCAGTTCCTTTCGAAAATGTTTGTTTGTTTTGTTGAATATCTTCTGTGTTATATCTCGTGTCAACGTGGGATTGTTTGCTTTTTCTTCTTAGTTATGTCTCGTGTAAAAAACGAGAGAGCATTTTGTTTTTCGTTTTTTCCTAGGTTATATCTCGTGACCACAAAATAGCATTTTTTTCTGAGTTACTTCTCGTGGCCTCGAGATAGCAAACGAAAACAAATCGGCATGTCAACTCTTAGCTTTCGTAATATATGGAAAAAATCTTTGGCAGCATATTCGTAATGTCGAATGGCTAATGTAATTCATCACTGCGGACTTGAGTTGACAACATATACTTTACTTTATATCAATACTAATACTAGACAGTTTATGACAGAAAAATAAGAGAATGATTTCAAATTTTAAAAGGAAAATGTCAAAGGTTACATCTTTGATGCATTCAAATGGACATTTTTCCAAAATGGCATGATTTGTGTATGGTGTTTTCCTAAAGCATATTCAATGGCTTTGCTGACTAGTACGGATGGTAAATCCGTCGAATGCCTCTCTACAACGATTTGATAAGTTAACTTAAAAGCCTTATCGGCCAAAAGGCGTAATAGAAAAGTTGATGTAACGAACTCACACATGGCTCTTCTTGTTGATGTCTGTAGTCATATTTGAGTCCAAATGATCCATTTCACTTAGTCCCGCAAACCGTTTTATTGTTTGCTTAACGTTGAACTCATTTTAGCAATTGAGAACCATGCGCTACTTGTGCATACTATTTGAATGGCACAACGTGTTAACATTAAATGTTCTTTGGAGGTAGTACGAATGCTTTTACACTCATCTGATTCTTACATCAACTGGTGTGGACGGTAAGTTGCTTTGTAAGAACAAATGCGTGAAATATCATCTTTGTTTGAATGTTATTGCAAGAATTTGAAATAAAACATGATCGCTTGACCAGATTTTTCTGTTTATTGTGAAAAAAAGAAAGTTGAAAAAGAATTACAAAGATAAAAAATTAGTGTCAAAAATGTCTCTTAGATTACAAATGGTTTCTTATTCAAGTACAACTATTCCTGTGCATACAAACAATGCAATACGATTCAATATTGTATTTACACATCATTTAAAATATAATGTCTACTACTAAACTCAAAAGTAATACAAACGATAGCAAAGTAATTACTAGTAAAAGGTTTTAATTTTTCTGTTTTGAAAAAGATGTTATTATTTATTATAGAAAACAAAGATATACGTGTTAAT